AAAGCCTTATCATTGCTGGAACTATTAATATGTACATATCAAGATATATATGGTATAATTAATTTTAATAATATTCTCAAATATTCCCAAATACTCCCTGTATCAAAAGATGACACTGCTCAAAGTCTTTTGGCAAATTTTCCTTTGGAAGAGCCCAATTTTGTGGGGTGATAGTTGGGTCTTTATAGGCAGAAACTGACCTAGGAACTCCAAAGGAGCCACTCCTTGCTACCACAGCCAGGCTTCTCTTGGGCCTTACTCAGACAAGCAATACCATTGGTTTCACTAAGGCCATTTGCAAAAGGAAAGTAAGGAAAAGGATTTGGCATTGATTTTCCACAGCAAAATGATACCCAAGGGGTGCATCTACATGAGATGTTTATTGTGGAGCTAATTAGCAGATGTCTCAGTGTCTACACATGAGGCCCTATTAGGCTTTAAGAATTAATTGTAAATACAAGTACTATCCTGCTGTGGAGTTTTTTTACTCTGCACCAACACACGTATAGATGCTGATCCAGCTTCCTGGAGCACAAGGGTGCAGAGTGCAGGGGCTGCCTGCCAGCTAGCCCTGCATTGGAGCACCCTCATGCCCCAGTCAGCCCCTCTGTAGCATAGTGAACCAAGTCAGAGCAGCCCAAGCTGGTAGGCTGAGCTGCCGGACCCCCTGCCAGCTGGGGCTGCTCCAACCCAGCTCAATGTGCTATAGGCCCAGGTGCACATGTAAACACAGCACTTGGGAGCAATAAACTCCAGTGCAATATGTGCTGGAGTTTATTGCTTCACATTAATATGCATATGTAGATGCACCCAAGGTATACATCAATCCAATGTGCTTTTTATGATATTGGTGTACATATATAGGCTTTAATGAATTACTTTTCAGTATTTCATGTTTTCTCATCATTTTAAAATACCTTTACTCTTATCATATGTTTAATAGGTTTAATGAGACGCTGCAATTTACATACAATACATATCACTACACAAAGTATAATGACACAGATATACATATAAAGGTAACTTTTCTTTCCTTTTTTTTTACAATTCAGGTGGCATGAAATTTCACGATACATTTATTCACACAACAGAATGCAAATAAGCTTCAGCCACTAGTCAGATATCTCAAAAATGTATAGACCAACCTTATTCTGCAACTGCTTGCACAAAATTCTCACCCCACAGGCTGAATAATCATGTCATAGGCATATTTGTGTCACATCCTGTACAGTAAGGAAGCCAAAATGAGCACTGGCACAGTACCACAAATTTCAATAAACTGTGGGCATGTCCACATGTGCATTAACGTGCTTTAGTTAATGTGCATTAAATTTAGTACCTCCATGGTGAAATACTAAGAAAATGCACATTAATCTGTCTTAATGAGCATAAACCGAAATGCATGGGGCATTTATACATGTGCTCCCTGGGGAATGCTTTAATTACAGTGCCCAGAGCATCACATGTATCAGCATCCCTGCACTTCAAAAAGGTGGCAGGGGCACTTTATCTAAAGTTTATCAAGTAAGCTTTATTGAATAAGCCCAGTGAAGTTTTAAAGAGCCCCCACTTCCATTTTGAAGCTCGAGGATGCTGATACAAGACACAGGAAGCTTCAGGAGTACGGTAATTCCCACTCTCCTGCAGACCTGATTAATCGAGCCTGCTTCGATGTGCTGGAATTACAGCACCTTAGAGCAGCCTCCATGCTCATGTATAAGCACTTATGGTTTTTAAGCAATGTTGAATGTGCCTTAGCCTATTTTAATACAAATTAACTAAACAGCACTTTTTTAGTGATGCTTTAATATGCATTAAAATAAGCTAATGTGCATTGAAGCACACGTATAGATGCACCCTCTACAACGACAATCAAAACAGAGCAAATAACCAACTGCTTAGGTTTGGTGACTGATCTGAAAAAAATCAAAATATTTTTTGCCTAGATCTACTGAGAATTTACAAATGTGGAGCAATTATTTGAAATAAAGTAGGTTACATTCAATACCGTAATTTTCCATTCAAAAGCAGCACCTTATTAGAAACTCTATACTACTTTTGTTTTGGTTCTAAGCATAATACAAACACAAAGATCAAAGCTTCTTCTCCCTACCACTCTCCTTGCTTTTTTTAACAGAATATGAATAGGCATGATCAATTATATTATGATGACAGACTCAATTGTTTAGGAGTTGCTTTCTTATTTTTCCTTAGTTATATCCATTTCTAAGTCAAGGGTAATTGTCTTTGTATCTAAAGAGGTCACTTATAACTTGTGAGGTATCCTGCCTTTTGCTGAAAAAATATAAGAAAGACAGTATCTTTCAATTACTTGGGGAAAGTTATTTTTGAGTTTCTGTAGTTTGATGTAGTATACCTTCTACCTTAAGGCAACACTAAGAATTGCAGTTTTGAATCAACAGCTATATTTCTGCTTTTAAGATCAGGCAGAGGATAGGACCTGATTTCTGCTTGAATAACATGGCTTACCACCTCTGTATTCCTTTAAAATCATAATGGCTGTGTAGTATCATGATATCTTGCCCTTGAAGAAAAACTGCACATTGTATCAATAAAGTCAAAGGTCAACCAAACACACTTACACATTACCAAAATCTCCTCAGGCCTGATCCTGCTCTCAATGAACACAAAAGGTACCTATACATGAATCATGGAGTGTGGTAATTACCATGCTCCAGCCAGCCTCCTTATCTCATGTATCAGCATCTCTACACTTGAAAATGGCAGCAGGGGCACTTTATCTAAAGCTTGTTCAATGACCCCGCTGCCATTTTGAATCGTGGGGACGTTGACACATGAGATGCTCCAGGCACTTTATTTAGAGCAGCTCTCACAGCATGTCTGTAGATACCCAAAGGAGATTTTGCCCCGTTCATTTAAATGGGGATAAGATAGGATCAGGCCATATGAGAACAAAATGAACGTATACAACTACTGTAATTAAAATGATTTCCACTGCATGACTAATATTTGGCATGTAATCATTTGCAATTATTATATTTAATTAAATGATGCAAGAATTATTATTATGGTATTGATTTTCATAATGCAGAACTAAAGGTTATGTTATACTTTGATATCAAATTCGCAATCCATAAAAAAATAGGACAATAATTTTAATAGTGAAGGGCACAACTTGCCCTGCGAATCTCAAGATGTTCTCCAAGTACCCTCTAATCTCCTTGAAGGCACTCAGCACTTCAAATTGTACCTTAAAATTAGCAAAGAAAAGAACACCAAATACATCTGCAAAGAGTGAATACACCTTTTGCTCTCATAAAACACACACATGCACACATTTACCTAGAATGCGGTTTTACATGCATATACCCATTGTGTTCAAATTATTTTTATATGCACCAGTGTGGGCCTTTGTAGACAAAGCAAGAGTATTGTATGTACATTTCTGCAGATCTATCTGTGGTATTCTAGAAATTTGCTAATGAATCTGATCAACTTTACCATTTATAAAGACTCACATGGTTTGGGTTTAATTTCTTTGCTGATAACCTCAATAGTAGTCATTATCTGGTTAAGGGGTTATCAGGCTAGACCCATAATTTCCATCTGTCCTGTGGTTTATTGTGGTATAATGGGCTACTTATAAGACCTCCCAATGAACTAAAAATTACTGATGGGCCTCAAAATATAATTGTAAATGATGAATCATCAATAGTAGGTCTACACAATGACCTGAAAGAAAATAAAGTATTACTGATAAAGTTTGTGACTGACACAAAGTTCTCTAAGTAGTAAATAATGAAACAATGGGTCATGGATATTGAGCACACTGGATTGCTTGGTAAACTGAGCATAAGCAAACAATATACATTTTAATTCAGCCAAATCTAAAGTTAGACATCTAGGAACAAAGGACATAGAATGGTGGACTCTTTCCCAGCAAGCAGTGACTGCGAAACAGTTTATGGATTATACAGGAGATACAGCCAACCCCAAGGTCCTGCGTGATGCTATGGCCAAAAGGGCCTAATGTTACTTGGCTATATAAATAGCGAGAAATACTAGTTAGGAGTAAAGACATTCTATTTCCTCTGTGTTTGACAGCCATGCAACTGCTACTGGAATAGTGTCCAGTTCTTATGTCCATGATTCAAGAAGCATGTTGAAAAACTGGAGTTCAGATAAAAATGATTAAAGGATTAGGAAACATGTCTTTTATTAAAAAAGCTCAATCTATTTAGCTTATCAGAAAAAGGTTAGGATATAATTTGATCATAGTCTATAAGTACCAACATGGAAAATAAAAATTTGGTAACAGAGAGTTCTTCATTCTATGAAACAAAAGTGTAACAAGATCTTATGACTGTAAATTAAAGATGGAAAAATTCAAATTAAAATAAAGTGAAAATGTTTAACCACAAGGACAATGTACCAGAAGTTCTGATGGAGTCTGGATTGGATGCTTGCCTATAAATATGCTATAGTTCAAATATAGCTGACTTTTGATGACTGATGCCTTTTAGGACACATGAACTCTAGTTGGTTCTGTAGCCTGTGTTTTGTAAGTCAGACAAGATGATGTCCCCTCTTATCCTTGAAATGTATGAAGATTTTTAACTACCAGCATGTCATTAAAAATTACATTACAGTAGGCTATGGGATCTACTACTAGCCAACAAATGGGTTCCTCGACAACAGAACCTTCCTCTTACCTTTCCCTTGATCCCATGGTACTGGTAGCCATCCACACTCACCCAAAACCCCAGCTTTCTGCCATTGCTAAAGTCAGCAGGTGATGGTGTTTTTGGTGTGGCAGGTGCTAGGATGTGGAGCCAACTCTTGCCTGATATCTGTCTCATCTAATTATACACCATTTTTGAAAAACATGTTAAAGCCACCTCTGTAACTGAACGTGTTTTTAATGTGACCATTGCTTCTTATTATTTTACACCTTTTTGCTTATAAAAAAGTCTCTTAAATTGGCTTATTGTTGTGTTCATTATTATTTTTTTGACCACTTTGATAACAGAAATGGGGAAATGTAGTTATTTGTTTTTATTACTGGAAAGGGCCCATAAGGAGATTGAACTAAAATACTCAAGTGCATGCCTTGGAATAGCAGTGTCAAACTGATAAGTAATAAGAACAAACCTCTTATGATTTGAAACAAGTACAAATCACTTAACCTCATTATAAGAAGTGTGAAGGTGTTCTCAATGTATGATCATTACCCCCAATGTTTCTTCACAGACCGTATTTGATTTTATTGCCCCATTGAGATGAGTGACTGTTTATTTATTTGTTTGGAACTTGATGGTGACTCAGAAATTGCTGCAACCTTTAAAGAATTCTTGATGGAGCTCAGTTCCCACATACGCAAGTTCATGATGTGCATACCACAGCATCCCCTTGTAATCTTGTAGAGGTTTTTAAGTACAGCTTTCCTTAGAAGAATATATACCCAAGGATCTAATATTTGATTCCACGTTGCCATTCGAAGAGCGAAAAGTATTGTTTCACATGTCTCCAGTGACCGATTTTCATTTATTCCGATATTGGCCATTGTCACCTGGAAAACAGAATATTTTTAAAGTAAGAAAGCAGGCTGACAAACACAAAAATGACTGAAATGATTCTTTCAAACAGATCTCTAATTTTGCCACCTTTACAAAGTATCAGTGTCTTATTAATGATCCCCCCACTGATTAACAGTTAACAATAATGTGATACTTTGCATGACTTTTTTATCCTGAAAAATCCCAGTTAAGAATAAAACACTGTATATGTTTAATTGATGAAATGCTACTATTTCTGGGATAAAAGCTGACATGTAGCTGGCCTACATTACAGAATGAGGAAGGGAGAAAGAAAGGAGTAAATGATTTATTAGGAGTAAATTTATTTATTATCAAATAACAGTAGAGCAGACCCATAATTTTATTGAATATGCCAGTGATCCTTTAGATCGAGACTATATATGGGCCACTGTCACCTGAGAAACAAAACATTTTTAAACATGTAATTGCTAATGTTAGAAGCATAAGATGACATTTTACGTAGAAGTATAAACTCCTAATTCTACCAACTTACAAAGCACTATTGGGTATTAATCCCAAAGTCCATAAAGTACTTTTCTAATATACTTATAAAAAGTAATTAAGAAACAATACTTTATTAATGATGCTGTGACTACATTGATTTATTAGATGGTGAAAGGCAGGGTCAGTCTGTTCAAGTACAAAGATCGCTTATTTACACAAAGAGACTGTAAAACAGAACAATAAAAGGAGACTACTGTTCAAGAATCCAAATATTTTTTGCTGTGTTAAACCACATTTAGCATTTGTAGCTGGGGCCACAATTATAGCTGCATCTGACTATAATTACAGAGCAGACGAAAGAAAGAATGTGAAGTGAGAGTGTATCTGCTTGTATGAGCATTTTTATAGGCATCTGTGAAAGCGAACTGGACAGCTCACATAAACTGTCTGAAAGAAGCTGGTAAAACAGCAGAAGGATGGCTGGGAACTAGTAAAAGAACAGAAAAAGTCTGAGTGCCATGCCAACATAAACGGTATGTAGCCCATTTCCCAGAACCCTCTTTTCACTCTACAACTATTGGGTGCATTCCTCTCTGACAACAACAGTCCACCCACACTTGGATGACTCCCATGGCTTCTGCACGGGATCTTCTCAGGAAGGTCTTACATATTATCAATTACAGGCCCAATTGCATAAACTTCAGTCACACCAAAGACCTCTTACTCATCATGTCCCATAAAAGCAGTCTACTGAATAAGTGCTCTTCAGGGACGGTAAAGGAAGCAGGGCTGGGCCTAGAACAACAATACTAAGAAACAGAAAATGACACGAGACACAAACAGACATTTCATATATATGCGTCTTAACTAATTCTACCTTAGTTTAATACAGACATATGGTTTCCTAAAATTTCTTGCCATCTCATGTCCATATAGAGAAAAAACTCTATCACTTACTGTTTGCAAACAACAATTTTAAACATCCAAAACTAACTAGTACTCTGTATATTCCAAGGGAACTAGATACCTTTCTGAGAAGCAGAATTTCTCTGTTCTGATTTTTTTTCAGTTATGTAGTATATTTATGCCCAGCCGTATCATGTATTTCAGAATATGAATCTATAAATTTTCTATGGCTCTTCTCCTGCACGTGCATGCAGGAGCTTGTCACTGCCAGAAACAACATTTGCAGCTGTTCATGACCCCTGGGAGCCACAAAGGGAGTCTGGTGTGGGGGGGGGGAGGGTCAGGCAAGATCGGGGTCAAGAGGGGCTAGCAGGTCTGTGGAGGGTTTGACAAATCTGGTGGGCAGGGTCTGGTGGGTCCACAGTGGGGGCCAGGGGCTAAGAATAGCCCAGTCACGTTTGGGGGTGGGAATAGCACAGCCCTGGATCTGGGGCAAGTGGCTGGACTTTCCAGCCCCAGCGCTACACTGTGAACTCATGCAGACATTCTGGACATTGGATTAACCCTTTCTTAAACTGGATTAACCTCATCTCAATCTAAGTTAGTGCACCTACTCAGATGGACTAATTTAGATTGGATGCACCATTTGGGTGCACCTAGATGAGCGAAGTTGCGCAGTATACAGCGCTGCAAATGTATTTGCAGTGCCACATACCACACAATCCAGTGTTCTCTGTGCTGCAAGGGCATGCTGCCCGAACGTGTGCTCTGCTGGGGTTTTTTCCACAGGTTTGTTTGACCCCTGGATATCCAGGGGTCAAAAAAAACCATGGGGGGTGAAAAAAACAGAGCAACACATGCTAGGCCAGTGAGCACTGCTGAAAAGCAGAGCCAGCCTGCCCAGAGCCATGCACTGCTGCCAGCCAGGATCTGCACAGAAGAATCACCATGGCTGCAGCCCCGGGAGGCTCCCAGGACCCCACGTAAGACTGCAGGGGCCAGTGCAGTGCTGGCCTCAACCTCCCCTACCCCACCCAGGGTAACTTGCCACTTGCCAAAGCGCACATGGCATGTGCGTTCCCCAGAAACAAGAAGCAGCAGTGCAACATGCACCACCACTACTTGTCCTTGGGGAACTAAACGTCCATGCACATCTGGACTCAGCCTTTTTGGGGGTGATTTAAGCCCTTTGAATGCTTATACAATTGGGTATTTAGACTGCCTAACCCTGGTTAGGTTGGTCTAAATGTAGCGCCTGTACATGCCTTTAGTAATTTCATAGATTTCATATTATAGACACTGGGGCTGGAAGGGACCTCAGAAGATCATCGAGTCCAGCCCCCTGCCCCAGGGGCAGGAAGTCAGCTAGGGTCAAAGGATCCCAGCAAGATAAACATCCAGATATCTCTTGAAGGCATTCAAAATAGGTGCTTGAACCACCTCCAGCAGCAGTCTATTTCAAACCTTGGGGCTTGGACAGTAAAGAAGTTCTTATGTCCAGCCTGAAACGGTCATAGAGGAGTTTGTGACTGTTCGACCTTGTCATCCCTTGGGATGCTCTAGTGAACAAACGTTCCCCCAGATCCTGGTGAGCACTCCTGATAAACTTGTAGGTGGCCACCAGATC